CTAAACAGAGTAGAATGACAATGTGCAAGGTTTTGCCTCCTAGCAGGGTGGATGTTTGTCATCCCACGCCGAACCACTTGGAGGCATTGCAGAGGAATACAAAATTTAAAAACTCCCTGTTAGAATTAGAAAGATGAAGTGCAGACAAAGTCATTTTTTCTGGGGGCAAGGAATGCACAGCCCGGTTGCAAAGTCCATTTTGCGGCACAGCGATTGATTACGTTGCGTGAGAAAATAGACGATGATAGAGCGCGCTAGGCGTGTTTTGTGAGTTCGTCTGACTGCACCCACCCTTCTTGGCATCGCCGACGAGATCTCGTTCATTGGTGTGTGTTTTTTGGTGGACTGCGTCGTTTTAATTATTTTGGTGATTTCACTTCATGACGCCGACAAGCAAAGTTGAATAGAAAACCGGCTTAATGATGACTATTTCTGAAGTGGACCGCTCGGGGGTAGAAAAGCAAACGTTGAAGCTGCAGTCTTTCAGAGACTTACAGAGGCGACGCCTGACAAATTTATTAAGAACTAACTTATGAATCCTTATTATGAAGCTTCTTTGCTTTTTCGATTGCCGCCTCCTACAGTGAAGCCTATTTACCTTTTTATGTAGAAGAGTAATGAAACTTCTGCTATCATAGTGAAAAATAATCGAGAATTGGGTTTCTGCAAAGAACTAATCAGCTATGCTCCGACTGCCTTTGACGAAATACTAATCAAAATCTGTCCTCCATCTCTAAGAAAACTCTGCAATTACAGTTACTCTAATAGATGGTCATTTCGGAATTGCATACAGGATTCGGTGATAGTCGTGACGCAGAAAACGGTTTTATTATATTTTCTGCGATCATTATTAAGATAATAGCATAATCCAGTCCAAAAAATGAGGTACACTTTTAGGAATTCTTAAACAGTTATGTTTTATATGAAATATTTAATAGGAAATCTGACCCTTCCTCTACCCTCTGCTTCCAGATTGCGGAGTCTCTGTTCCACCCAATCAAATGAAAAGTTCGGTCTCTCTCTTTCTTTCCTTAGCTGTCATTGTTCGCGCTCTGCTGATCGCCTTCAAGAACTGCCACATCATGCTGCAAATGTCCACCCGTGACGTGAGGTCCAATCAAGCCGACAAGAAAGCCTTCCGCACCTTCTTCTTCCCCCAATTGCCGGAGAGTGTCTGCTCCCCCGATCGTATGCTGGAGGACAAGCACTGGCACCACTACGCCATCTCCGTTTCAATCGATCCGGCCTACGCCGAGGTGCAGGCCAGCACCCTGCTGGTGGATGGAGAGGAGATTGGAACCCTCAGCGAGCTCAATGAGACCATTACCTTTCAGCGGCCGACTCAGATGCAGTTCTCGCAATTGTGAGTTAACAAGTCGGTGACCACCACCTGGTCGCCCTTAATACTCACCTCCAGTTTTATGCTGTTCTAGCCTAGTGCTGGTGTGCTTCATTAGAAGTGTGCGAGTCGT